TACAGTCTATTAGAAAAAGCTGTACACCTTGGTCTGCATACAGGGTCCTCTAGAATGGGTCTCCAATGCACGGTCCAGTTTAACCCCAGAGCTCCCAAACAGTCCATGGTCTCTCTCCGAGCCTGCTCCTTCCTTCCGGAAACCAACACTGCCCCAGCTGCTCTGCTTACTCCACGCCTCCTTCTAAGGGACAACATGGCAGGAGGGTTAAGCCTTGGACAGCCAGGCCTCAGTTCACAATTCTAACTCTACATACTTAACATTTAACCTCTATCCTTTATAAAGTGAGCTACACTTTCTTTTTTTCCCTTTTTTTATCTTTATTGTTGAAAGTATTACAGATGTCCCCCATTCCCCCTATTGACTCCCTCTACTCCATTCCTGCCCCCGCCCCCTTCAGCATGCTATTGTCTACATTTACAAGTACAATAGGCCATTCTGTACAATTGAATTCTTATGGAGTTTGACTTCTTTGGTTTTATAGTTCTTATCCTGAAACTTGAATAATGGTTTCCATAAAATGCAATATGAAATTTTAGAAAAGAAAGTCTTATTGATACTGCATTTTGTGCCAGTGGCAAGACACAGGAGGACAGAGTCCCCTGATTTGCATTCTCTGGGGTCCCTTACACACTTAGGGTGAGAGTTGACTCCAGCTTTGTCTCCTATGCTGTCCTCCCTCCCCTGGGAGCCAGGGAAGAGCTGTGTGAGCTTCCAGCACTGCCCCACTCACAGTCTATAGGGCTGCCCTGTGCTGCCATGGGGCCTCCTGGAGAAACTCCATGGGCCAAGCTGCTCCCATGGGGACTGCTGTTGTACTACAATTAGCTGGCATGGCTAGCCATGGGATGACTGCTCTGCACCTCATCCATGTCCCTCCTGATAGAGCCACCTGTCTCCTGTCTAATGGCTTCAATCGTCCCCGTACAATAGGGTTCACGGGGAGTCTGTGAGGTGTCAGTGATTGGCATTATACTTGGCTCATGTCACATCCTGAAAGATAAAGGGTCTCATTGAAGAGTCTTCCACCCACCAGCCACCTCTGTTTTGCAAAGTGTCACTTAGCAAAAGGCTCAATGTGCCTTTTACTGAGTAGCTGCTCCCTTGTCTTCACTTGTCTGTGATGAAGGACAGTCAGTCCATCCCAAAGAAGAGATGATTGTCACCACAATCCTGGGGACTTTTTAGTCTCCCTACACCTCTAGGGGTGAGCACTGCTTCCCTCAGGGAAGCAGTTCCTGATGATAACATACCATGACTGTGAGCAGTACTGACATGGGACCCCCAGACGACTCAGTAAAACACACAGTTTCATTCATGATGAGCAAAGCCTATAATTCTAAGATGAAGCTGAATGGTAAGTCACCTACCATGTCTCAGACTTTTGTGTTTTGTGGGAATTGACATAATGATGCTACTTTTCATTTTTGCCAGATAGGACATTAATAAAAATCTACTATCTTGTATTCTGTCACAAAACAGAAAAAAGCCTATTATTATAGCATAAAATATATTATTAAATTGAATAGACTTAGCTTTGTGATTCTTATTTTTCCCAGTTCACTGAGGCTGGGTAAAAAGTGGGCCAGGAACTGGCTCTGGTCACTGGTCATGAGCTGGGAACCACTCTAATGAGAACCTTGTTCATTTAACTGAGGTATTGCTGAAGGTCCTCTTTCAATTCAACAGCAATGGTACCCTTCCCCGTCCTCTTTGCTCAACCTGTCCATATCTTTATAATACATTTGAATATTATTTGTTGTTTTGTATTGACTTCTAATGGTTTCATGTGTGAATATCTTCTCTCTTCCAACCAGACTGTAATGCTAGGTAAATAGAAGGTACTGAACAACTAATTATTAGAATTTATTTCTATTAAACACACTGGTATGTTGTTTAGAGGATTGTCAACTTTTCACATGTATATGTGTGTGTATGTGTGTTTGTTTGCATGTTTTGGAATTCTGCTGGAATCCTCAATATGCATAGGTGCATAGATGAAAGGTGCACAGTTTTGAAGAATTAAACAAGCTTTGTAAAGTAAAAAAACCAAGCCTTTGGAATCAAATCTCCATCTTTGCCTCGACTTCCTAATGAGGCTGGAAAGATGAACTAAGTATGGAGTTGACATGGCTCTGCTTTTGAAGTATCTTGAAAGTCTCTCATCATTTTTGATGATTTAGTAATACTGTAGGGTGTAGCCAGTAGTTGAGATTTTCCCATAAAATATCAGAATTGTTTTTCATGTACTTTTTATTTAAAAAATCATAAAATGCTCCTTAGAGTGACAGCTCAGTTTCAATATTTATGACGTTCTAATTGCTCTAGCCATTTAGAAAAAAAAAAGAGTTCTCAAGTAAAATTTAAGTGGAAAAGATTAAAATTCAGAATTATGGTCTTTTTTTCATTTGAATGAACACCCACTTTTTGCTGGAAATTTTATGCACCAGCACTAGCTTCTCTATATTCAACAGTCCTTGAAAAAGTACTTAATTTCTTTCTTGAAAATATAAGAGCATCTTTGTAATTTGAAAATAAACTCTTTGGATCAGTACAACTCCCCCCCCCAGTTTTATTCTACTTTGGACTGTAAACCAAGCACACATGATCTATCTTCAAATGAATGACTCCGTGTGGGCACGAGCTGGAGAACATACGAGTGAGTGAAAGGGATATGTGGCAAGACATCATTCTGTGGGGGGTATTTTTAACTGCTATGATTTATGATATTTGCATGGCTGACTTGTGATATGTGCTCAAAGCTGTTCAATCATTTACCTTTTTGTGAGTTCTTGTTGTTTTCCTGAATGAGGTTTCAGATTCAGATGTAACAAATCTTCTGTCTAAATTAAATCTCATTTCCTTTCCCAAGATGCAAGCCTTTGGAGCCAAGTATCCATCGTTGCCTTCACTTTTTAATGAGGCTGGAAAGATGAACTAAGTATTGAGTCAACGTGGCCCCGCATTTGAAGTATCTTGAAAGTCTCTCATCATTTTTGATGATTTAGTAATAATGTAGTGGGTAGCTGGTAGTTGAGATTCTCCCATAAAATATCAGAATTGTTTTTCATTTTCTTTGATCACTTTATAATTTTGTCATTGGTTACTTTTCTTTAAATGATATATTTCTACAGCTACTTAATGGAGTATGTTGTTAATATGTGATTAATCTTTTGAGGGGAAGAATAATATGACTTTGTCCCTTCAAGGAGTATGTAATATAACTTCATTATTACTAACTCAAACGTCTGTAAAAGTGATTATGGATTTGGCTAAAGAAAAATGGACACTGTTGACAAATAACCTCAGAGAGGGGATAAGGAAAAATCCTACTTCCCCCAAAACACTCACTATAAATATAAATTTTATTATACTTAATTAAAATGTTTAAGTTTTAGTAAGTATTTCCTTGTTGCAGTTTTTCCTGATTAATTAATTCTGTCAACAAATATTTGTTCATAGTCTACCAAGCCTTGTTCTATGTGCTGGGAGTATAGTCCCCTTTATTCATGGGGGATACTTCCAAAAGCCTCAGTGAATGACCGAAACCAGGGATGGCACCGAACCTTATGTTTACTATCTTTTTTGCTATACAGACATATACTTTATGGCTTTTCTTTGGCACACCCAAATTGCACTTTGGAGCATTATTAAGTAAACTGAAGGCTACTTGAACACAAGCACTTTGATACCAGGACAGTAGATCTGATATCAGGGTGAGGTATTGAGGGTCATGGGGGTTTCGTGCCCGTGAGAGTGAGGTTAGTATATACATACAGTGGGGACAAGCTGGACCGCACAAGATTTCATCGTGGTGCTCAGAATGATGCACAATTTAAAACTTATGAATTGTTCATTTTTGAAATTTTCCATTTAATATTTTTGAACTGCAGTTGACCATCAGTAACTGAATCCCTGGAAAGCGAAACTGTGGAGAAGGGGGGACTACTGTAGCAAATACCACAGAGGAAAACTGCCTTTGTGTGGTTGATAGTCTAATAAATCCTGATGAACTAGTTTATATTTTTTAAAAAACTTGTTATGTGAGCTTATTGAGCTTTCTATGAAAGACCCAAAAAGTGACATATTGCAGCCTAACTAATAAAGGAACCAAAATGAATAATTCAGGATTTGATTCCCAGGGCAGCATTGTGCAAAGGGGTGTGGTAAAACACCCTTTTTGTAGATTTGACACTTGAGCAGTAGCAGGTGCAAATTGTGGTGAATAAAATTAACTCAGCTATGAAGAACGTAGCACGAAAAGCAGAAATTGTCAGGATTGTTCCCAAAAGGCATTGTGACTACGTCCTCCCAAACATGTATGACAGCATTCTAAAAGGCCAAAGACAAAATCATCCTTGCGTTTGATCTAAGGAAAAGGATTTTTTTCCCTACAAAAACCCCACTTGGATTTGGTCAATTTTGGAGTTTTGAGGTTGGGGTAGAACTTTAGGCAGAGCTGATCCTAGTTACAAATGAGAAGGCAGAGTTTGGGCACCCACCCCTACCGTCTCCTATTTACCCCTTCCTCCAGCTGACTTATGATGTCTCCTGCTATGCTCCCATGGGAGGAAAGTACTGGACCTTCCTTCCAAAGACCTGAGCTTCAACTCCTCCTGTGCTATTTATCCTTCACGTGAGCATGAACAAGCCGTTTTGCCAAGCCTCAGTTTTCTCCTCTACAAAATAGAGATAATACCAACCTCAGAAGGTAATGATGAAGATTAAATAGGCTGTTTGTGAAAATGCCTTGAAATGATTAACAACAAGAATTAGCATAATGGCTAACACTTCTTTAAGGAACCGGGCAAGAAAGTTCTGAGAAAGACAGAAACTCTCTAGATACTAAAGACTGCCCAGTGGAATGGCGAGTGGTGGAGGTTTTATTTTGGTTAGTGCTTCTGTTAGGTTGTGTCTTAAATTACACCATGGGTAAGGCTGCTTCCTCTGCCGACAGAACGTATGTCAAGCCCAGCTTATTCAGATCCCCAAGTACTCACTCTTGCCAGGCTGGTCCCAGATGGAACTTTATAAGGGACGTACTTCCTGTAGATATGACCAACTCTAGAACATGGAACATCGAACATTTCTCCTCCACACATCCAAACCTAAAGAGAGGTAATTTCAAAGTATGAAAAAAAGAAACCCAGAAAATTCCATACAAAAAAGGAATTATTAGCAAGACTCAAAAACATATTAAAATCTCTTAAAGTCTCAAAATGAGTAATTTCTTTTTATTATAAATAGCTAACCAAGAAAGAAAACCACATTTTCAAAAACCCAGATTCATAAAAGTATAGAACCAAAATACTAGTTTAGTAAGATCTAATTTCCATAGACATCGTGACATTATTTTTATTCTAGAATTTTATTATAAATATTACATTGAACTGAAATTTAATGCTTACACATCTTAGTTATATAGATATTTGTTTTGAAAGCCTTGTGAAATCATTTGAAGAAGTCACATTAAATTTTAAATGTCAATTTAAAATATAAAAAATGGAATTTTTAAAATAAATTAATGAATTAAGGAACACATATCTATGCTTGAAGTTACATCTGCATGCTAATTTTTCCCACCCTTGATTTTTTTCTTAGGTAAAGAAATTAATTGGTTAGTGATATGGAAAAAGGAAATATTATGCCTGAGTTATATGTTAAAATGCTGTACTTATATATAGTAACAAAAATTAATTGGTTATATTTTATCATGACTACCCACTTAGACACACACTTAATAATGATTTTATATATAACAGACTATTTACTACAAAAGGACAAATTAGACACATACTTAATCATAATTTTATATATAACAGACTACTTACTATAAAAGGACAAAAGACTATCCTATATAAGAGGTAATATGCAAAGTAACCCTCATGCCCTCATAAGATGGCTGCCTACGACCAGGCTGACAGGGGGGTTAGTGATGGACAACCAAACGACTGAACAAGCAGGCAGGGTGGGGCAACCAGGATGGCAGCAGAATTAGTGAGGGGCGACCAAACAACTGAACAAGCAGGCTGCATGGGGCGACCAGGCTGGCAGGGGGGCCATGAGGGGCAATCAGGCCAGCAGCTGGGGGGGGCAGTAAGAGGTGACCAGGCCAGCGGGGGGCAGTCAGGGGCAACCAGGCCGGAGGGGGGGTGCAGTTGGGGGTGACCAGGCCAGTAGGGGGGGTAGTTAGGGGGTAGTTAGGGGCAACTAGGCTAGCAGGGGGTCAGTTGGGGGCGACCAGGCTTGCGGGGGGGAAGTTGGGGGAAACCTGGCTGGCAGTGGGGGGCAGTGAGGGGCAACCAGGCCGGGGGGGGGGGGGGGCAGTTAGGAACAATCAGGCTGGCACACAGAGGCAGTGAGGGGTGATCAGGCCGGCAGGGGGGAGCAGTTAGGGGCGATCAGGCAGGCAGGTGAGCGATTAGGAGGCAGCAATCCAGGATTGTGAGAGGGATGTCCGACTGCCGGTTTAGGCCCAATCCCTGAGGGGTCCCAGATTGGAGAGGGTGCAGGCTGGGCTGAGGAGACCCCCCTGACCCATGCACGAATTTCATGCACCGGGTCTCTAGTTTACTATAAAAGAACTATTTACTATTAAAACAAAAATGCAGACTTCATATGGGCTAGGTTTTTAACTATTTCAATTGTAAGAAAAAAATTAAGAAGAATTAGATACTATTATGGTTAGTTTTATAAGTCAACTTGGCTGCACTACAGTGCCTAAATATTTGGTCAAATATTATTCTATACATTTTTATAATGGTGTTTTTGAATGAGATTAACATTTAAATTGGTAGACTTTGAATAAAGCAGATTACCCTTCATAATGGAGATGGATTTTACCTAATCAGTTGAAGGCCTTAAAAGAACAAAGACTGACCTCCCCAAAGCAAGAAGAATTCGGCCAGCTATCTGCCTTTGGACTTGAACAGTAGCTCTTCCCTGGGTCTTCAAACTGCTAGCCTACCTTACAGATTTTGGACTTACCATGCTTCCCCAATGGTGTGAGCTGATTCATTAAAATAAATCTCTCCTTTTATATATGCATATCTTGTTGACTCTGTTTCTCTGGAGAACCCTGACTAAAACAGGTACATAGATTGTTTTAAAGTATAATATTGAAAGGAAGAAAGATAAATGTTTATGTTTTAGCTTATATTCACTTCCTACTTTTCTCATTAAGAGGAATGACACCCCATCTAAGACTGGTGAACAAATAGTGATTAGAGTGAATGGAAGTCCAAGGGAAAGGGAATTCAATTATTAAGACAATATTAAGGCCCTAGCCAAGTGGCTCAGTTGGTTGGAGCGTCGTATGGTACACCAAAAGGTTTCAGGTTCAATTCACAGTCAGGGTACATACCTAGGTTGTGGATTTGATCCCTGGTTGGAGTGCACGTGGGAGGCAACCTATCAATGTTTCTCTCTCACATTGATTTTTTTTCTCTCTCTTTCTTTTCCTTTCTCTCTCTAAAAATCAATAAAAAACATATCTTCGGGTGAGGATTTAAAAGAACAACAACAACAACAATACTCAGTTGTTCTAAATGGGTTTAGGACTACTCATGGTATTAATTTTAACTTGATGGGGTAGACATCAGAAGTATGTATGGATGATACAAAGCTGGTTGGGGCAGTTAACATTCTAAACTGTAGTACCAACATCCATAAAATCTCAAGAGGCTGGAGCTATATAAGATTAAAGTTTAATAAGAAGGGTAAATATAAGAATCTGTCCCATTTCTAAAAGAATCAATGCATCCAGAGAAGGATGGGGTGGAAAAAGACTAAGCAGCATAAAACACACATCACCAACATGATATGAACAGTTTAGGGAGTAAGAGTCCTGATCTATCTGACTAAAGTCTTATGCTAATTTCTGAGTAAATGCTTTATATTCTCTTTTAAAGAGAATTACCAAAGTGGTAAAGGATGTAACTGTGCTTTAGGAAAAATAATGGAAAGAACTGGAGATGTGTAGTCTTGCTAAGACAAAATTCAGAGAAATCTTTTTCAAATATTTAAAGACCTAATGTTTGGAAGAGATGGTCTATAGAAACTCAAAGAGATAGAAAGGATTAATAGGATAGAGCTATAAAAAGTCAATTTCAACTCAGTGGAAGGAAAGACTTTTTAACAGACAGAATGATTAAAGATGTGTTGAAATCAGTGGTAGATGACACTTTGGAGACAAGCATATAACTTTGAATGGATAGTTGATCTAGTTAACATTTTAAGGTAATTCTAATATTAAGAGTTAGCATTTATGAATCCTTACTATGCCCTTTTTCATTTAGAGCTCACAACTCAATGACAGAATTTACTATTTCCCCAATTACATAGGTGGGAAAATGGCAGTCTAATGGCCGAGTAACTTGCCCAAGGCCACATAACTGGCCACCACAAGAATGGAGATTTGAATACTAGTAGTATCACTCCAGTGTTCACATGCTTAATCAATATTCTATCTACAAAGTCAGGAAACTTTGTTTGTGGTGGTCCAGATAGTAAATACTTTTACTTTAGGCTTTTAGGTCATATGGTTTCTCCTTCAACCAGGCAACTCTGCTAAGGACAAGGTGTGGCCATATTTTAATAAAACTTTGTTTACAAAAACAGGCAGTAGGCCATAGTTTGTTAACCCCTGTTCTACAAGGTACAAAGTCCATTCGAACATTGAAATGCAGTGATTCTATATGTGGGAGAGTGTGGAAAAATGCAATTGGATATTACAAAATCTCCCATTGCTCATGCTCCTCTACAATGTGACCTTGGTACCCTCCCATTGAGGTGTGGGTCTATATTCCTTCTCCTTGAATTTGGGTGGGCTTGTGACTTTTAGACCAGGGGAGTATAGATGAAGTGAGTGAGGCTAGGTGATGAAAGGCAATGTAGCTGCCACCTATCCTCCGGGGCACTTGTTTTTATAACTGAGATGCCATGTAAAAAAATCTTGAGGCTACCCCATTGTGAGAAAGTCTAGGCCACATGAGAAGTCATGTGAAGGTGCTTGGGTCAATAGCCTCAGTGTTTTAATGCACAGCCAGCATCAACTGCCAGACATGTAAGTGAAGATTCCTCTATATGATTCTACATGTAGCTATTGAGTTACACCCAACTGAGGCCCCATATATCATGAAGCAGAAATGAGCTATACCTCTTTGAGCCTTCTCTAAATTTGGGACCCATAGAATGCATGAGCTTAATAAAATGGTATTTTATGTTGTTAAATTCTTGGCTACTTTGTTTTGCAGCAATAGTAACTGGAACTACATATTTCCAAATCCATGATAAAGGTGAACTGCTAACACATATAATCAAAACTTATGGATCACCCACCAATTTCATCTTATCTTATTGTGGGAGATACAGCTCTAGGTCTCACCAATTTCTCTTTTTACTTCTTCTTGGGTTATAGGTTATAATCATCTTCCTGCTAGTTTATAATATCCAGCTCCTCTGTATGAGATGGGGCTATATGATTATTTCATGCCAGTGGAATGCGAACAGAAATGAGGTGCATTGCCTCTGGGCCAAAATAATTAAGAGTGGATTTTCTTTTCTACCTTCTTCAGGATTTACTGTTTCCCTCAGAGCCTGACAGACTACAGAAGATCCAGAGAAGGGGTCTGACTCCCGGTTAGATGGTGACATCACTAAATACATGGGGCCTCGGACCCTGAAAACCTGGATGGAGCAGAGCAGGCTCCTCTCCCAACCTGGGCCAAGTTGTGACAGGGCCAAAGGAAGAACTTTGTTATCAAGATTTTGGAATTGTTACAGCAGTGAGTCCACTCTAATAATTTTTAATTAGCAATAATCGCACCTCAGATAAACCTCATTGGTTATTATATAGCCAAAGCTTTAATAATTTTTTAAAAAAGAAAATCATATACAGTGAATGTAATCATTTGAGGGATTATTTTCTTTGATTATTTATGCATTTTAAAGAGGTAAAATTTGAAAGAATTTGACCACAGCCAAAGGAGTGGATAATGGGAGGGCAGAGAATGTTAGATAGTCATGTGTGTAATAAAATGTCAGTTCTTATTAGTCAAAGCTAAGAATGTGTCAAGGCAAAGAAGCCTTCGTCTACAGCTGGAGATAG